ATTTCTTTCCAACTGTTACTTTAGAAAGAGACAAGCATGAATTAAACTAAGATCGATGTCAAGCGACGTTTGGTGAAACCGGGCCTTAACGTTTACAGACCGTTCTCTGCCATCAGCCTGAAGCCCGCGCTCTTACAACGAGATAACGTCGGCTCGGGAGCGTCAAGGACGCGTCGCCGAGAGGAGCGCGCGTTCGCTCGGGCGGAAAAAAAACTCTCGCGAGTGATCGGCGCTCGGCGGATGTATCGGTAGTCGCGGAGGACAGGAAAGCGGGACGCGAGCGCGGCGAAAGCGGATTTTCTCCTAATCTCCGCGGACGCACGGCGCACCGTTCTCGCGAGCCCGGCAGGACGAAAATGTCCCCGGTGTGAGGTTCCCGCGCGCGGTCCCTTCCGCATCTCGTTGACGTGACACGCGCGCGAACAGCTGACGCGAATAACAAACGCGCGGCGCGCCTCGGAGCACCGTCGTCTCGCCTTCGCTCCCGCGGAGAAGCTCCTCACGATTTAACTACTCACCGACTCCTCGGCGTCGCGTCGCGCGTCGTCTCGCCGGGGTAAGCGCGACGCGCCTCGTGGCGAATCCGGCGGGTCCCGCGGATTATTCGCTCGTGCCGGCGTTGATCGCAGCGATCGAACGGGGGGGGAGGGCAGTCTCGGAGTAAACACGACACCTGCCGCGGACGGACGCGGGGACAAAGACGAGCCGCGCTCGGCCGCCGCGTTTTCTTCGGATCGGACCGTGGGCGGGCGCGAGGAGGGGGTAGCAAGAGAGGAGCGGAGGGAAGCCGCGGAGCTGGACCGGCCCGACACAGAGGCCGAATCGCGAGCCGCGTCGAGGCGGACGAGAACGCCTTGGCGTGTCGGGCGCGTATTATATGTACATGCATACGTGAAACAACACTCACCTAACCTTTCGGCGTGACGGCCCCGCAGCCGGTCCGCGCGGCGCGGCGCGTCGTCCCGTCCCGGACCCGCGACGGCGGCGGCGGCGGCACGCAGCAGCAGCAGCAACAGCAGCAGCGGGCGAGGACGCGCGTCCTTGCACGCGCGCGATGCGGGATGCACGTATAGGGGAGCACGCACGAGTTACGCGACGGCGGAGGCATCAATGGATAGTAGGAGAGACGCGTGAGTTAACGGTACGTCTTGGCCATGACGGGAGAGAGGAGCGAAAGGGAGTGGGAGGGAGGGCGGAAGGGAGGAAAGCGGTGAAAGAGAGCGAGAGGACGCGAGAGTGGAGAGGGAGAGTCGTCCGCGCGCGCGCGCGCGCGCGCGGGCCGCAGGCCGCTGATATCGGCGCGCTCGGCGCTCCGCACATCGACGCTGCGTCTTACCCACCGGCGATCACCAGCAAGCGACGTCCCTCTTCGACGATGTATGACGCGAGACACGGCGGAGAAACGAGTGCGTTTTCTTCCTCATCTTCTTGATCCTTCTCTCTCCTGCGCGAACTGTACGCGAGTAGCTGACGCGCGATGAAACTACCGCTTTGCCGCCGAAAGTGCGTTGGTGGTGCCATCGCGCGGCCGTCGGTGGAAGCCGCGCGACCTGTCGATAACACATCGACTGTCGATAACACAACGACTGTTGACATAAGTTTCTCGCTTAATTGTTATGCCCATTCTACACCTAGGGATGATCCTACTTGTGGCTCATCCGATACTCGCTTCTATACCTAAAGCTAATCCTACTTACAGCTTATCCGAGGAAGTAGTATAAAGTGTAAAAGGTACACTGTAGTTGTACTTTGGTACGATTAGAAACCAACCAAAGTGTAAACCTTTTACACTTTATACTACTCCCTCGGATAAGCTGTAAGTAGGGTTAGCTTTAGGTATAGAAGCGAGTATCGGATGAGCCACAAGTAGGATCATCCCTAGGTGTAGAATGGGCATTAGAGAGAAGATTGGGGGAAGACGCAACTCATATGTATAATAGTTCATCAAGCGGACAAGGAAAATAGCATAATGAATGACAACAGGAGCAACTAGAGGGAAAAAATGTATACATTTTGATTTACTATTTATACAGAACTCCGTGTGACGTAGGCACATAATTTCTTTGCATTTCTATTATTATAGCGGAAGTGATGGATAATAGCGAACGATCGACTTACTTCGTAATACTGAGTGTGAGAAAATCGATCGCGAAGAGCCCAGATACTCGGACAACTTCCAAACCACGTTGGTACTACCAGTTCTCGTTCGATCACTGAAGTCAAGCAACGTTGGGCATGGTTAGTACTTGGATGGGTGACCGCCTGGGAATACCGTGTGATGTTGTCCTCAACTTTTTGCCTCTTTTGCTCCAAACTAGAAAATAACCCAGCAGACGTGTCCAGAAGACGTCAATACAGACGTTTTTAAGATACTTTTTTTTAGATATATTTAGTCTAAAAGACAATTTAATGTTACATACCCCTAGTAGCACAGTGCATTGGCTGAACATTGGCTAAATATTGGTCCAATGTTGGTTATATTAGAAATGCACTGGCCGATATTGTCCAACGTAAAGCCCTTTAATAGCACAACACATACATATATTGGCGCAATATCGGGGAATAACTAGTAAATCTAGTATTGCCAATATTGGTACAATACTGTAAGATGGGACGCCTTCTCTTATTTAGCCAATATGTCTATTTAGCAATATTGGTTTAATATTGTATCAATATTAGACCAATATTCTTATTACATCGTTAAATATTGGCCAATGCATTTCTAATATATCCGACATTGGGTCAATGTTTAGCCAATGTTTAGCCAATGCACTGTGCTACTAGGGCCAGTATTGGCCATGAAATCAATGTAAATATGCACGATAATAATTATTATAATATTAGATTTATACCGGAAGTGTATTGGTCAATATTTAACAATGTAATAAGAATATTGGGTCTAATATTGATGCAGCATTAGACCAATATTGCTAAACAGGCATATTGGCTAAATAAGAAAAGGCGCCAAAATATTGAGAATACTAGACTGACGTTATTTCCCAATATCGCGCCAATTGTATTGTGCTATTAGGGACAATACATTGGCGCGATATTGGGAAATAACACTTCAATTCATATCTTGCAACATTAATTTAAAATAATTTAAATTATTCCTATGAATCGTGTGCGCACGCGCGCATAAAAGAAACCGATAAGTCAGGCTGCTTCTATTATCCAGCGATTTAACGCGCCCCCCCGCCGTACGTGTTACTTCTCTGTATTGCAGGTGGCAGCATAGATGCCGAAACAATCGCCTCGCTGGTTGACAGCTCCTGACTTTTTTTCTCCCCGTCGGCGACGTCTCCGCCGCTCTCGCACGGGACGTCGCGTGCTCCTGTTATCGCGTATTACGCGCGTTCGCATTATTCCGGTACGCGGCGCGGCGCCGCAACAGGAAATATGATAATCACCCGTATGTTCTAGGCCTGTGTTTGATAATAACATGCTGCTAATACACGATAAGCCGCGCAAGTCTCCAGGCTGCTTTAAAGTGTGGCACGTCGGGCGAGTAATCGTCGGCGGATCGCGAGGGGCTTATAACGACGGTGAGACGCAGATGATGACACGTGTGTCGTTCAGTGTCGTTGTAGGATAACCTAGCGGACGTTCTCCCTCCCGCCTCTGGCCCTCGCGCGAACGAGCGAGTCCCGTTTTCACCCGGTGTGCGACAACCCCGTCAGGTAAGGATCCCGTTTTATTGAAAGCCCTATCGACATTTCCTCGGCGGAGAAGCCACACGTCGCCAATCTCGCGGCCGATCTTCGAGAACGCGCGCGTTTCGACGAACTTACTAAATCTATGGATATTTTAATATATATTTTTTTATATTACGTTACATACAAAGTTATGTATATTGTTACAAATGTAATCTGCGTCGGAATGTATTAAAGTTACTTTTTGTAAGACGAGATTGCGCATCATGTAGTTAGCTTTATTATTCTTGTTTACGATGCAAAGTGTCGAAATACTGTTATCTGCTTTCATAGATTGTATAATACACTGTGATTTCTGTGTTATTTTATGCCTGTTTTCTATCGCTGCACCGATGAACTAGTGCAGTGAGCTAGAATGAATAGCTAGGATAGCTAGGATAAAGTAAAACTTGTCTTATTCTAGTTTATTGTACTAGTTGACCAGTGCAGCAAATAGAAAACAAGTCTCTTATTGTTAGAGGAGTAAACCACCGAGGGCATTGTGCTGTATGAATTTACAGCATTACTAGGCATTACTAGGCATTTTTTAGCATTAAGACTTGCTGGGGCATTATAAAGATAAAATAAGATAAAGTAATGCCCACTGGGCATTAGTAGGCATCGATTTTGCTCAGCATTTTACCCCTTGGTCTCTTAATTGCGTTGTACACGCACCGGCATAAATGCTGTCCCTATCCTTGTGAGGTGCACGCATACAACTAGAGTCCCTGTAGTTGTGTGCGTGCACCTCACAAGGATAGGGACAGCATTTATGCCGGTGCGTGTACAAGCAATAGAAAACAAGCCCCTTGTTTGCGTTATACCATAATTATATATTTTTTAAAATGTTCCTGTAAATGCGAAAGAAGATGCCTGTGTGTGACTCAAAGTTCTGTTGCGCAGCTAACATGATTGGAATCTATCGCCTGGGATTGTACCTATTGCTATTCAAGAGCTGCATGGGCAGCTTGGTCAGATGGAAGATGCAGCTGCTGTGCTCGGATCTGTATCCGCGAGTGTTCACGAGCTACTTGCCCCGCGGAAATCTCACCGGCGGCACTTACCGGCAACAAATTCACTTGACCAACATGCAGGACTGCGTTATGGCCTGCTGCAAGAAGTCCATGTGCAACGTGGCGTTCGTGTACAACGGCACGTGCTATCACGTGGAATGCGAGAGCTCGACGGCGTGCGTGCCGCTGTACAGGCCCGAATTGGCCAACGGTAATCCGCCGAGCATGGTGCTGGTCAGACCCGTGGAGAGTAACAAAGCGTGGGGCGATTTCTTGGATCAAGTCAACGAGGATCAGGTCAACGCTGGGTAGGCTCGACTCGGATCTCTGGCGTTTGTTGCGGGCCAGCGATTTTCAACCAGTGTGCTGCGAGAAGCACTTTTTAAACGTGTAACTCACCGAACTGAATTTGTCAAACCAAAATGCAGAACTTCCAGTCGACCAAACTGGCAAAATTTAGATAGTTATTACAACGGGAACTTATAGTCAACCCAACTGGCTTGTTGCTTTATTTAAAAATGGTACAACGTTTCGACCCTATAGTTTGAACTTAGTTCGAGCCCAACATTCACAGCGCTCACATGTATCATACATTTTATAACTTGACACGTCACTTCTGACAAGACGATCTACTTAGTATTACTTGAAAAGGACCCAAACTATAGGGTCGAAACGTTGTACCACTTTTAAATAAAGCAACAAGCCAGTTGGGTTGACTATAAGTTCCCGTTGTAATTTTTATTCATCACTGGTGACCACAAGCAATCTTCCTACTTTAGATAGTTAATTCACGATGTCGTAAATAAATGTAGAAAATTGCTCGACGGCCCACGACTGGCAAATTCTAATTGAAGAAATTCATTGCGAAAAATATTACCTCACCTTGGCTGAGGTCTACATTGGTTAATCAATTACTGGCGTTAAATAATCCTTTACGTCGTAAATAAACTATCTAAATTTTGCCAGTTTGGTCGACTATAAATTATGTATTTTGTTTTAATTAGGTTTATTTAGGTATTGCAGGTTTTAATTTTTCTCGCGGCAGTTTGCCAGTTTGGTCGACTGTAAATTTTGCATTTTAGTTCAATTTATCACTGGTGACAATAAGAATACTCAAGCATGTTAAATCTATCAAAATTATTTCTGATTTTTTTGGTATGCCACAGAGGTCCGTATTCTGAATCCCCTTTGATTGATAAAAACGCCTCTAACAGTGGCTAATAAGCCTTTTGATTAGCTACAAGTCACTTTTAGAGGCACTTTCGTCGATAAAAGAATTCAGAATACGGTCCTTGGTGATTAGCTTATGTGTGCCGCGAGACGAAAAAGGTTGAAAATTGCTGATATAAGCAAACTCTCTGTATCAAGCAACAAATAATGATAAAATGATCTCTCCCTTTGATACATTGTATATATTTAGGACATTGAGTACAGACGACACGGAGCAAGATCAAGTGTTCTTCAACGAGCCAGGTAGAAACGATTGTGTAGATCAGTCAGGCTGCCTAGATAACGAGATCTGCGTGAAAGCTGAGAACGCCGAGGTTGGAACTTGCCACTGTCCTTTAGGCTTCAAGCGAAGTATCGCTGGTTTGTATAGCGTTTTTATTTCTGTGCGCAATGTGTAGAATGAATATCTGAAAATTTCATTAGATAAGAGTTTTCTTTCGTGTCACGTCTATTTTTAGAGAAACAGTGAACTTTAAGTCAATTGTGCTTTTAATTTACACCTGTTGCCAGGTCCCTGTATAATGGTGGACGAGCTAGACGCCGCTGAGCTCGGTGTGACGCAGCAAGCGAGAGTTTCAACCGCGAAAGACCCCAGCACGTCGATCAAGCCGCGTATGAAGCAACTGTTAGTCTCGGCGGTTTCTAAGGAGGTGCGATTACCGGAGAACGAAGTCACGTTGTCCGCGTACACCGTCCCCGCTGAACGGGGCAGTCAGCATTACAATTACGCTTGGAGCCTGCTTAGTCAACCGGAGGGACACACTGGAACGATGACGGATCAGAATCGCGTTACCGTTAAATTAAGTAATCTGTCGGAGGGCTTGTACACGTTTAAGGTAGCTGTGAGCAGCCCGAATGCTTACGGAGAGGCTTACGCCAACGTCAGCGTCCTGCCTCGTAAGCGCTTTGAAAATTCTCTTTCTCTTCGCATCGGGCGTCGATCCTCTTTCATGGAGATATATTTTTAGCGAAACGTATCAACCAAGCGCCAATTGCCATAATTACGCCTGCCTCGCAAATTGTGAAGCTACCGAATACAGGCGCGGTCTTGGACGGCTCGAGTAGTAAGGACGACGATCGTGTCATCTCTTATCACTGGGAACTGCAGCAAGGCCCGATTGGGTATCAACCCAACCTTGTGGATACACCCACGCTTCAGTTAGATAATCTTATTGCCGGAAATTACACATTCAAGTTCGTACTCTGTTGTATTATGGCAAAAACGACTATACGATATTTATATAGATAAAAATTTCGATGGTTTTCATATAAATTGCATAAAAATTTTGGCAGATTAACAGTTGAGGACTCAAATCACGTTACAAATTCGACAAGTGCCAATATAACCGTCTTGAAAGTGACCGACTATCCCCCCAGCGCAAACGCAGGACAAGACGTTATCATTTATCTACCTCAAAATACATTGACGCTTAACGGTAATTTAAGCACCGACGATCGAGGAATAGCCAGCTGGGAGTGGACCAAAAGTCCATCCGATCAGAACAAAGCGGTGGATATGCAGAACACAAGGACACCTTACCTACAACTGTCAAATCTGGAGGAGGGAATGTATACGTTTGTACTTAAAGTAACGGACGATTCTGACCAATCTTCCACGGCGGAAGTGCATGTGTTTGTGAAACCTCCGACGAATAAACCGCCAAAGGGTAAGCGTCATTTTTGTCACCAATATCTTAAACTTGCCAAATTCTCTCCACCACCTTGCACGGCAACGTTAAAAGTTAAGGTGATAAGCTGCTTTTGATATAAACACGATTGACTAATTTTCTTGCAGCCGACGCTGGTGACGACATAAGCATAGCATTGCCGACAACCCGCGCTGTTCTAAATGGCACAAGAAGTAAGGATGACATAAAGATCGTTTTGTATCATTGGGAGCAAATAAGGTACAGTGTATCTAAATTGCATTTTACGGTACGTGTTACATCGTGAATTTAGAAATATATCGTTTGCATTAACAGTGGACCCAATAACGCTGAGTTTGCCACAGTTAACGAATCTATTACAAATATTACAAAATTAACCAAAGGTGATTATGTATTTAAATTGACCGTTGTTGATGATAACGGGAAAGCGAATTCAGATACGATCAATGTAAAGGTAACACAAAGTAAGTACTGCTTCATAGTCGTATGTTACATTGCGATTGTATTGTGTTACAAAAGATCTTATTTCCTAGACAAAAATGCGCCTCCTAAAGCGAACGCTGGTGGCGATCAAGTTGTGACGGCGCCAATCAGCGCGTTAATTATCAACGGATCACAATCGAGTGATGATCTAAGGATAGGACAATGGTTGTGGACCAGAGATCAATCTAGTCTTGCGATTGGTACTATAGTGCAAGATACGGATAAATCACCAGTCTTAATGGTAAAATAAAAATGCGAGCAGTGTTGCTTAATATTCGTTGAGATTCGTGTCTCACATAATGTACCTGCGTACACAATGTACATACGTCATATACATAAGTGCATATTATGCTCTTTTTTTCATAGCTAACAGATATAGTTCCTGGCCGTTATGTTTTCCGATTAAAAGTAATGGATGATCAAGGTCTGAGCAGTGAAGACACCGTATCAGTAATTGTAAAACCCGGTTAGTACCGATTAGAAAAGAATATTACCATTGATATTGTCATTTTACAATATAATAACTTTAAAAAAAATTAATTAATCTTCTATTTCTATAGATCCGCAGTTGTTGCATTTGGTAGAGCTAACATTAAACATTGGAGCTAGCATGCTGACTGTTTCGCAAAAGAATTCGTTGGTAGTGAAACTGCAGATGTTATTGCGAGATGAAGCTTCGATCGTCGTGCGGAGTTTGAGAGCAGAACCGCACACTGCAAAGGCTGTCTTGGTGTTTTACGTGGAAAAGAAGGGAGGAAGAACAACATTACCGGGCCCAGAAGTAGTCAAAAGACTGAAAGAAAAGTTATTACAAGATTCCGGTCTCTTACAGCTGTCGGTTGCCAATATAGATACCGCTGTCTGCCAAAATAATTGTTCAGGTATATAATATTAATAAAAACATTAACAGTGCAATGTAAAATGCAAAAACTAAAGCTATATTGCATGGAAAAATGTTGGAGAGATAAATAGTACGTAGAGTTTTATTCGTAAATTATGGAGTTATTGTTTCTGTCTAGGCCACGGTGTGTGCGATCAAGAGACAAGACAATGCTTGTGCGAAGCATTTTGGATGCAGAATTTAATACAAAAATATTTTGGTAATGGAGATTCTAATTGTGGTACGTTAAATTATTCTTTCCATTGTATATTACCACGTAAAATATCTCAAAACATATAAAACATATTTTTTAAATTATTTTATGTACATTTTTCAGTTAAAAGACATTTATAACGTTATATTTTAATCTCTTTTTGCAGATTGGAGCATCTTGTATGTGATAATAGCATTGTTATCGTTAGTTGTATGTTGGGTTGGATTTATTTGGGGTCTTGTTTGCTTATGTCAAAGGATATGCGCTGGTAGAAGACGTTTGCTTCGGCCTAAGAAGAAACCACCACGCTATTCTTTGCTGCAACCAGAGCCAGAAGATGACAGCAGTGCATGTACATACATTTTTTATTATTTAGCCAGATGACAGTAATAAAGTTCTTAATACAGACGAAAGAGTACGAGAGAAATTTCATCGTTAAAAATTTTTTTATTTCACTACACTTTGTCCAGCTCTAAATATTTAAAACATTTCTCTTAAAATATTTGCATGTGTCACGAAATTATTTATTTATTTTAGTTATTAAAATGTAATAATCTTTTTATCGCAGTTTCAACTCACAACAAGATGGTATTATCGGAATCTGACACCGATTCCGACGATGTTCTGTTTGAGCATCGTAAGAGCAAAAATGGTAGTCATATAAGAAACGGTAAATCTCGGAATGGATTTATCAAAGTCGGTTCTCGAATAAAGACATGAGGTAATGATTATAAATTTACGATTCACGATGTCTAATCAAGAAAGATGTGTTCTTTTTATCTAGATTTTACTAAATTTCAGAAATGCAACGATAACGGTGCAATAAATAGCGCACAGTTTGTGTGAGTTTGGCCAAACCTGAAATACTAGTCACGAAGGTATAAGTTGACTTATGTACTTTAATAAGAATGATCGCCTCCAGGATCGATATTAATAACAATGTTCTAAGAGGATAGATGGAGTTTATGTATTGTTTATAGATACGCGATAATTATAACGACCTCATACTCTACGTCACATTACTTAATTCGTTTTAAGTAATTATTAATGAATTCCATTCTTTATTATGTGATCCTAACTGCGCCAACGATTGCTGACGCGACAAAATGCAGTATCACATAATCGTCAAACTGTTCGAGAGCTTGTCTAAGTATTATTATGGCCTTAGAAACTATTTAAATTACAGTCGATATGTAGTAAGCACTGTATCAATTCTATATGTCGTTTATATGTACTGCTTACTCTTTAATATATATTGTCAATCTTATTTTTACACCACATGGATATTAAATAAAATTTACTATCCATACGTGTTCGTTATTTCTTTACGCATACCTACTTGATTAATAACAGAAACAATTGTTGCCTAATGATTATGTGTGCTATTTTCCATTTATAAATCCTTGTTCGCTGATAATTTAAAAAATCCTATTTTTTTAAAGAATTAATTGTTATAGACAAAAGAGCCGCTCCACTAAATTGTTGCATAAATATTACGTATTTTTATCCACGTTTTACGCTAGCAAATGTTTATGGATAATGAACGTTGTGGAGAACATTTTCCATCAAATCGACGATCTAGATATTAAAGATATCTCCAGCTTCGCGACCAGTAGCTACGATTTTACGTTTCAAGGCAAGTGCCACATGCGCTTGGCTCATAGCCTACGTTTTAAAGTTATTTTTAACCCGCTGCGCCGTTGGAGAACGAGTTTTAAGTAGTAGGAAGGCTTCGTGCGGCCGGTTGACTCATACTTTCGTATCTTCCGTTAATTATACCTTAATCTCTTGGTGAGTCATTATTTTTATATCAATCAGAAAATATATATCTACTGTATATTTCTCATAACTCATAACAATTTGCATTTTCAGTGTGACCGATGGATTTCGTAAACTGTTCGACAAAACGCTCGGCGAAAGGTTGCTGCGGTCGCGAGGCCGCGACAGGCAGCGAGCTCGGAAGCTGCGATCATATTTACGCAAATTTGGTCGAATGCAAGAGTAAAGGTGTTAATACTGAAAATTTCGTTCACGTCGAACCAATGACGATAGCATGTACGAACAAACGGTGAGTGACACCTCTAGATTAATTAAAAACCCATCAGCATATGCTGCGCGATTTAACATACAAGGCCTGTTTCGGTCGAGTTAAAATGATGATTTATTACACTAAAACATTTATATAATTCATTATACCGAAACGTCAACGTACGGTTGACTCTGAATGGAACGTTTCAGGTCTTTGCTAATTCTTCGATTATTTTCAATAGCGAGGATTCCAGAAAAAGACGCGCCGCTTGTTCGAATTCGCACGTCTTTGCGTATCAGTCTTCCCCTGCCTTCGTTCGCAATAAACTGGGCAGCGAAGTCGAGGAAGAGCCGATGAGATTTTTCAACAGATCGCCGCACGATGCAGACTTCCAGTGTCCCAGATGCGGGCAGAGAATGGAGGAGCCTAGGCTCCTTCCTTGCTTGCATCCTATATGTTCACCTTGCGTTTACGAATTGATGAGCAAACGTGAGTGGCGAGAGAGGAAGTCTCATCTCAGCGAAGGAAAACGCGATCCCGTTATATATTTTTACATCGATGTAACTCACAGTCAAAACTGTTGATTTATAAAGACGCACTGATGGAATTGCGTGCTTGCAGCTCCGAACGTCTCTTCGAGAAACGAAGTGCGAGACAACGGCCGAATGTACGCGCAATCCGACGTTCACGAAACGTGCCCGCTATGCGACTCGCGCCTACCGAATGCCAATTCTGCCGTGCCGCCGCCGCATTATCCCTTGCAGCATCGTTCAGTTATGGACACCGTGCGACGTAAATTGGTCAATAGAGTACTTTGCGATACCTGCACAGGCGAAGTTCCGGTAACGATCTAAATGTTATTGCATCTCGCTTGAAATCTCATCGCAACGTAGGGAAATGTTCTATAGACTTTTCTCACGTTCTTAATTTTCTCAAGGCGCTCGTACAATGTTCGACGTGTCTCCGCAATTTTTGCTCGGAGTGCGGCAGGCAACACGAGCGGCAAAACCTCGCGGAAGCGAGAACGGTCAAGCATTTAATGAGACCACTGTGGGAGGCTACCAAAGTACGACGGACGACCTTATGTCAGACGCATCCGACGCACGCTTTAAGATTTTATTGCATCGCGTGTCAGCAGGTTCACAAAAAATTTCCTCTTCCTACATATATGACACGCTTTAATATTGCGTCAAGTACGCAAGGATGTACATGTAATCGACCTCAAACGATACTTTCAGTCGAGGTCGTGCGAATTCTTCTGCGATTTACTATTTTATAGAATTCATAAGTAAACAATAGTACACAAAATTTTTAGGTGACGTGCAAGGAATGCATGTGGAGTGCGCAGCACAGAGGACACGCTAGCGAAGACGCTGTTGGAGTGGGAAAACGAGCCGGTACATACTTAGCGATGATGTTGCAGAAAGCAAGATCGTATCTAAATAATCTATTGGTTCAATACAACCACGATGTATTTTCAAATAACGATCTTGAAGAAGCATACAATATAGCCAAGATTTGCAGGTATGTCCAGCTATGTGTGTGTGTGTGTGGTGGTTTTATAAAACTGGAATTATATAAATTACATTGTGCAAATGCGAGTTCATACAAAACTCGCTACACAACATTTAAAAATTTATGAGTATGTTTTTACTTTTAATTGTATGATAAAACTGCAGCACTTTGGCGCGTGTAAAGCAGTGCAGAACAAATTCTTGTTAGTGTTAGTACACTGTGATACAATTGTCATGTGATTAATAAGGTAACAATGAGCGAAAACGGTAAAATTGTCATTTGAGGTATAAAATACATTCCGAAGCTTCGACTGACACACAGACTGACTAGAATTATTGAAATTATTGTGTGTGATTTGTACATTTTGTCAATGTATTGTTAAGCAAGAGGCAAATAATTGCGACTGGTATGCGAGTTAAGACGTGTTATATGTAAGTTTAGTTAAATACGTTGCGAACATTTGTAATTAATAAATAATATAAATGTAAAAAGCACCTACATTTATGTACATACCATGTATATGTAAATGTATTGAAAAAATATGTAAGAGATATTGCATATATAATATAAATTAATGCAATTTAATGTATATATGTACATACATATGTTATATATGTATATATATATGTATATTGTTATACATTTCACCTAAATAGAGCGAAAAAATGAAGGTAAGATACACAATTTTCTCCATTCTTCTCTTATCATTTCTTCGAATTGAGATTCAATAGCCATTATTATTTTTTGCAATAAATTTTCTGCACTAACCGATTAATTAACAAATGTGGCCAGCTGTGGTCGAATGAAATTTGGAATTTTATTATTATACTGGCAATTTGAAGGAACCAATCTTTCATTATTACTTTGTCAAGCATTTTAGAGCTAGTAATTTTAATTCTCAATATAAGCAATTGCAAGATAGAATTTATAATGAGACATTGTATACATGCAAGATTACTCCTTTTGCTTAAAGTAAAATTTTATACAATTATTAACGAGCATGGAAGTTTCTAATTACAAAAGGAAGAAAAACTACAGTTGAATAAAATTGTCTCAAAAATTACAAAATGTTTCAACCAGTTGAACATACAAATATATCAAATCTCTTGAAATAATATTTTATCTCTTAAAGATACGAGACACAATTAATGTTTCTTTTAAACCGGAATATTCAAGTTGTATATTCATGTATGGAAGTTGTATTTATTAATTTATTAAGACTCACAATATAAGTTGATGCATAGTTTTTCGTATAATTAAGCAACGCCCATTACGTAATATAGATCCACAGCAGGACCAATGGTTAAAGCCCGGATGCCCGATATGTCCATGGCCGCAGCCTTTGTATCCACCTTTCCAAAAATTAACTAATTTATCCTTTTTTTTCTTATTTCCGTGTTTATCTAACCAAGTTTTGAATAGCAACGATTAAAAATTGGCCTTTTATATAAATTTTAAATGTTTTACAATATTATAGACTTACAATTGCAGAAGTTACTTTTATAAATTAATTTCGTCTACCTTTTCGGTTCAATACGTATTTCATAGTTTCTATTTAGATTAGCTTATGGAATTAATTCTTACCAGGCATTGTGCCTCTGCAGCCGCAAGTTATTTCCTTTTTTCCACCACTTGAACAAAATGTGCAACAGTGATAAATACCGCTATGTGTAAGTCTCAAAGCCGATAGTCTCGTATCTTTGTACCAATATTCTGCAACAGAATACAATACACGTGTCCCATAAAGAAAACCCAGACATACATCACCTATAAAGGAAAACACATATCAAACACGTACCGTTTTCCTTATCTGCCGTTATATTTGTCACGCCTAATTTATTTAATCTCCTCACTATTATCCCAGCAAGCGATAGTATTTCTATTTCAGAACCGTCGGCAAGCAAATTGTTTACTAACGAAATGGCATCCAAAAGGTGCCGTGCTTTCTGTAGCCGTTCGAACTCTTGAATCCTTTCCCGTGCCTGTTTCATGTGGAGTAACACAATTTTGTAGTCTCGTAAATTTGAGGCGTCTGCATTATTCTCAAAGTATCTGTATAAAGAAAATCCTTATTCACTTCATGTGTACCTCAGGTAAAGGTATCTTCACATGAAGACAGCAAACTTATAAACGTTGTGCTAAATAAATCTTTATGGCAATTATAAACACACGTGACACAAGTGTGAAAAATTGGACGGTGCGAGGGTCACTTAAGTGGTAAAAATATTATACACACACTCATCCCTTTTACCATGCGCGACATTAAATACATAAAGACGTGGGAAATATGTTGCTCAACACATCTTGCATTGTCATGTGATATTCATTTTTTATTTCAACGCTACGTTAAATCTCGTTACGAATGTAAAATGTTAACGTGTATGAAAAATAAACGTGCTTCATTGTCATTTGAGGTATCGGTAGGAAGCATAATTTTCGCGCTTCTTATATTCATTAACAATCTTAGCTCTTGTCGCTACGTATAATTAAGCATAAATAAAAGTCGCTAAAAGCCTGCAAAGAAGGTAAAAATTTCCAACTATAATACCAAGAGATCTCTTATAACTCTACGTTCTTAAACCTATGTTTTACATTATCCAAGATAGAAAAATAGAACTCGTGGCATAAGCTAAACAATGATTGCTTTTCCAGCATACGCAAGTGTGGAAAGTAATTTAACCGTATTATTATTAAAATACGAAGACGTTATATGCTGCAGCTAAGAGCTACTCCCAGAAAGTCTTCAAATCCGATAGTAATTGATCCAGTTTGTTCCGTGTCTTTGGTCCTAAAGGCCTCTGTAACACACGACATTCTTTGGTAAACGAACGTGGTTAAATATCATCAAACTGTCGCACGTACAGATGTCTAGGTCTCTAAACAGTTCAAGTAAGCGAACAGTTGTCAGAAAATTTTCTGCCTCTTATGCAAACACCTCCGATTACCTGTAAACCTCTGTATTTGAACACACAGTACTATGAACTGGTCGACAGTGATGGACCGGTGGCCACTAAGATCGCTCTTTTTTATGAGAAACTGGATGAACTCCGGACTGAGCCTGTAGCCCATTTGCGTTAGGGCCGCGCTCAGCTCGTTCTCCTGTATACTACCCGAATTATCGTGGTCGAAGCCGCGAAACACACCAAGCCAAGAATTTATGTAGTTGTAAAGAGCCTGAAACTCCGTTGCGTTTATAGTGCCATTCTTCTCCTTGTCGAACATACCTGCGGAGAAGGTGATATTACTATTCGCCGATATCTCTACAGCTCGTAACAATGGCCGCGTTCAACAGACACAACTGTTGAGTGAGCGCTCAGTATGATTGGTTAATACTTTTAGATCCAGTCAATGGCCGCGTTCAGCAGACACAACTGTTGAGTGAGCGCTCAGTGATTTCTTAATATGATTGGCTGGATCTAAAAGTATTAACCAATCATACCGAGCGCTCACTCAACAGTTGTGTCTGCTGAACGCGGCCAATGTTGTCCCGTCTTCCATCTGTCTTCGCTAAATAATAAATGCAAAAGATGCAAACGTACCAATCATCAACTTGCACGCCGTGTCAGAGAAAGTACCCCCTTGACCGTTGGCCAGCGCCGACTTCAATTCCTCGGCCGTTATTCGTCCGCTTCCGTCCCTGTCCACCGTGGAGAACCATCGTTGCACCTCCGGATTGACCCCCGATCCCGGATCGGTGGAGCCGTACATCGCGCTCTTGAAGAAATGGACAGGGTAAACAGAATTGAAGGGGAGTCGCAGGCAAGCCCCAAGGCCAAGCTGTAGCGTGAGAGCGAAACGAGGCGGCCGACTTTTCGTCCGCGTGTCGCAGCTGTCAATTTGACCCGCGTCAACAAATTCAGGCGACTCAGGAGCGATACGGGGGAAGCCGAGACGGCGGGACGAAGCGCGCGGCTGTTGCGAGTGTGCAGTCGTTAAAATTGTTATTTACAATTACCGGGTATGCCATGACTTGTTCCTAACCTCAAGATGAATTACAGTGGAGCTCGCGTTTAGACTGGCATCGCGAGATTCCGCGTTGCACGAGTGTTACGTAACAACAGACGTACTCGCGCGCTAATAACGTACTCTGTCGAGACACACTGGACAGCTGGAGGAGACCTAGATCCTTACAATTACGACGTACGCCTGCGAGGGGCACAGTTCCGTCTTCTGTATTCCTCCATTCCACACTCCACCACAAACTCCACCATAGGTCGTCCGCCAGAGACTGCAGCCTCGTCTACATAGAAGTCGTAAAGTCGTAGTCGTAAGAATAGTCGACTGCGATTGGTCAATTCTTATGTATCTGACGGAATTGACCAATCGCAGCCGACTATTTTTACGACTACGACTTTACGACTTCTATGTAGATGAGGCTTTAACAAGAGAGTAGAGTGAGGGGGATTTAGAGGAGAGGGGAATCGAATTAGTAATTTTTACATACATATTTTTTTAGAATTACTTAAACGGTCATTATTTGTATTTTGTTGTAAAAAAATTGTTCAGAATATCTGGTTATAAGCAGACTCTCAAGTCCCTCCGCCAAGGCAAAGCTAAAGCCTCCGCTACAATGATTCTTGGTTCTGTCTACAATGGTCGTAGTCGTAAGAATAATCGACTGCGATTGGTCAATTCTTATCGAGCGACTACGACTACGACTACGACCATTGTAGACAGAACCGAGAATCATTGTAGCGGAGGCTTAAGTTGGTCATCATTGCCAGTAATACACCGCCGCTAAGGTGAGACTGAGAAGTAGCACTCCTTTTGCAACCAGCAAATTGACATGTTTAACAAGAATGCAGTTTCTCTTAAATCGATGGATTTGCTAAATTTATTAGTGACTTCCAATACGCAAATGTATTTGTACCAGATAACTAATAGAGTGTCCAATTAAATTAATAGTTTACATTGAAATTGCACTGATAGAGTGGTAATATTGATACGATTGTCAATTTGCATATCATAAATTGAATAGGAGTACTATGGAGTAGTCTCCTACCCCTGCTTGTAAGTGCACGGGGAACTGAACTGTATCTCGCTAACGTGCCGTTTTAAACGTGCTTCGTCCGGATTTAACAGGAAATCGGAGATCGAGTACTACCCCAGCAAA